GTAAATAAATTAATTAAACGCTTAGACCTGAGTGATACCTTGAGTGAGCTACAACGGTTTGTCACAGTTAGCTTGTAGCTCTAAATGGCTAGTACAACTTAACCGATGAAGGCGTTTTATATTTGTTTATAAATAAACTTTGAATAACTTGAGCAAACTTCTTTGTTATTCGCGATTCATTTTTAGATGAAATATAGATCTAATAGTAATAAAATAAACTGATATTTAAACAAAATCTAGCTCGCAACAAAAATAAAGTCTTTACTCTTTCATGTCTTAAGATACTCTGCTGACATTTGCACTAGGTAAGATGATTTCATCATTGTTACTGCATAACCACCAATCATCGCTTAACCTCTTATCACCGCCGTTTAGGAAACACATACACTTCACTCCGTAACATCCCTTTTTGTCAGGACGTTGCGCCCTTTCCCTCCATAGGAGAGAAACTAGCGCCCCCCCTAGTGAATTTTTTAAAAATTGACTATCTAATAAAAGAATTAAAATATCTACTTATAGGGGGCAATTCTACTCAAAAACAAATATTACAAACAATCCGCGAAAATTCAAGGCCAGAAATGAACAGGCGCTTATGCAAAAACCCGTGAAAATCCCTCGCACGCTGATCTATTTTATTTGTTCTAGTTTCCAAAATAATTTCTTATGTACGAATATCGTATATATATTCAAAGGATAATGGAATAATTAGAATTTATTTAAAATATTTAAGTTTTTTTTTTCTATTTAACTAAATTTTTAAAAGAAAGTAACGTTGGAATTATGATTCTGCCGCCCTCTAAAGTCGGCCGCCTGCGTGCAATGCATACATTGCACAATAGGTAGCCGCGGCCCTGATGATAATAATAGTAATAATAAGGGAGAGTATAATGAATTTAGTTGCCCTTCAATGAATCTCGATCAAGAGTATGTAACATATTTTATAATAATAATGATAATAACAACAATAATAATAATATAACTTTGTCTCCCTCAAATGAATCTCAATCCTTTCAGTGTCCTTGAGAAAAAGGATAGGATAAGGTATTTCACATAAAAAGCCTATTAGATGTAATATGTGTCACGAGTCGAGTCTGTGACCTATTTCGACCAGTTTCTAGAAGCTCGAGTTCAAACCAGTGCAAGTGTCCAGCGTAAACAAGTTAATTTTAGATATCCACTCGAAGAAAGAGGTTAAGGGAAAAAAAATAGCACACGTCAGCTTCTAGAAGGTCAAAGTTACTAAAATAATTATCTGAGAAGGTTCCATGATTCTGAAACTTACGATGAAAGAAAGTATAAATTAAGGGAAAGTGAGTTAGACGGGGTCCTCGCATAGTAATAGTTCTTGAAGAGCGTTGGTCCTCGCTCAGTCCTCGATTAGTAATAAGTTTTATGATATTAGCGGGTCCATTAAGTAAAGTTTTAGTAGATGAAGTTGAAGTTATACTAAGTGAAGTTTTATGTATCATTTAAGTTTTATTTATGAAGTATCATGTCAAGTTGTTATTGAATTAAGAAGTTAATTTGATGTGAAAGTTGAAGAAGTTATTAAAGAAGTTTGAATAAAATACAGAGAGATGTTTCTTTCTTCATTTCATTGAATTGTCAAGTATTGATAATATAATCCCCGGCAAGTGTGATCGTCACAATATGTATAGTTGGGTCATAGAGACATGCATTTACTAGATCCCGGCCTATGACAATCATCAATTTAATTTTTACAAAAGTGTATTTCGTCGACAAAGGACAGTTTAGTGATTCTATAACAAATTATCCACAAGATGAGAGTTATCAGAAGCGACATATTTTTTCAGTAGCATTTAGCACAATGGAGGTACGAAATTATTTTAATTGACTGGTTTACTTATTTTAATGGCTGTCTGTTTCATTACATATAAAATGGATTGGAACTTAAATTTCAGCCAGAGAATTGGCTCAAGAATTAGACCTAGAACCAGATGAAATCACATTTCCAGCTTCCTCAAGCTTGAGATTACGGAAAGTGAGCAAACAGTTCGATCGATTATGAAAGCATTGGCCATAAAGGAATCACTGACGACAAATCAAAAATAAAAATATCAATTGGAATTTTTAATACTGTTTTGTTAGATAAAGAAATGATGTCGTTGGCTGCATGTCGAGAAAGTAGAACGTCTCTTTGTTGTTGTTTTTTTTTTTTAAATTTCAATTATCATTATTATATTTTGCATTTCTGTACAATATCAATAAAAGCAGAATTAGACGAAAAAAAAGATTCAATGACATATGAATATTGCGCTTACCGATGCATCTGATTCAGATATTGATCAGAATGAGTTTTACAATGAATTGCAAATAGATTCTAATCACAGACCTATATATTATACCTAGACCTGAAAATGGAAACAAATTCTTATCAGATAACGATCAGATCACAGACCTATATACAAAGATTGTTATGCATGTAAATCTTTTTCCAAGTTGTAAGGGAAGTTGGCCCGAATCTGAGAAAATCGATCGTTTCTGTCTTTAGTTTTCAATGTTTAGAAGTAATGTAATGCCATTTTGCGGATTTTAAATAGAATGGGCTATTAATCACAGAACTATATATTCACGCAAATCTATTAAATATAGCCATTTCCTGTTAGTTTCCTTTGAGATAATGTTTTATTTATGATCATGGTTTGAATGAAGAAGTTCCATATGTCACTATATCCCTACGTTTAGTATTAACAATTCTGATCACTGTTGCATCGGGTGAAAGACGTTTTTCCAAGTTAAAATTAATGAAACATTAATCTTTGAGAACGACTTTGACTCAAAACAGTCTGGCAATGATATCTATCGGATGATGACTAGATGCATGACGCGTACGACGTAATTATCTTTATTTTACAAAGTAACGTCTGTATTTTATAAGATAAGAACGATACTTCGTCCAGTCTTTAGATTTTTGACAAGCACGAAAAGTTTAATTTTATTTGTTTTATGACATGTGTACGAAAGTTTGTAAGAAGCTACCGGAACACTAACTGAACTGAACGCTACCCAAATTTGTTGATTAAAGTTGTTTTTTAATAAATTGCGTAATTTTTTTTTTTGATGTGGACTCTTTATGGGCAGCATTCGAGTTTGTGTGAAAACACAAACTTTCTTTGTAATGGTACTATTGTTTTCTACTCTTTTTTATTATAGAGATTTGCATAACTTGAAATAGTTATATAACAATTAAGTACAAATTAAATCCATTTTGGCATATAGGGGCATATCATGTAAAGCTGATTTATTTCTACGGCCGACGGTTAACGAGGGTATCATGTGGTCAGCGCATGAACCAACCAACTTCCCCAAAGTATGTCAAGTACCCATAAGAGTTTGGCTTACTAAAGATCTAGAGGCTAACAATAATACCAGAACATAAACAAGCGAAAGATAAAAATAACTTTAAAAAACAAAGAAAGCTTATATAAAGGAAAGCACCGCAAATCACTGCCATATCGTTCAATACTGCAAATTTTACCCCCCTCCTTTTCTATCTGTAAAAAAAACAACAACATTAAATAACAACTAACTGATTAACTAATTGTTTCTTTAAATGATTCATTAATTGTCTTCGACTATGAATAATTTGCAAAATTGTAACTTGATCCGCGAATGGGAAGTGGGAGAAAAAACGTGTAAATGATTCCACCCAGAGTGAGTCCCCCTATAAGCTTCGTATAAAATACTTGCCTTTTTTTAGGCTAAAGCAGCAATTTAAAAAAAAAAAATCGACCGTAGATGAATTCCTATAGCGGGTACATACATTATCGACCCTTCCAAAAGTTCCAAAAGTATATACGGCTTTTATGCAAACCCTTCTTAAGTTATCCAATATCCAATTCACTCAGCACAGATGGTGCACCTCTTTGGCTAAACTAAACAATCTACTCTATATCAAAATATATTATAAATTTGAGCATTTCAATTAACCTTCTGCTTGCAAAGAAATATGTGGTATAATAAGTGATATGCTTAATCATGTTCCGTAATTAGTTAGAAAGTAAGGAAGTTCAATTTAAATTTGCATGACATGTTGATCTTAAATCTTAATCATCACAAGACACAATTATGAACCTGTGTCAGAGTCCGTGACGTCTGGTAATCACACGCATGGTGAAATTGTTATTGAGATATCTCGTGCTGCAACTCATTGGAATAAATGACTTCTTCAAAGATGCATGTGTGAGTACTTTATGTCGTTCAATACAAGATAAAAAAAAATCAGTCTAATTTAATGGAAATATGGGCAGGGCTTAATTAGACTTTAATAAATAGACCCTTTATGAAACCTTTCATTTTACGTACAGTTTGACAATATATTATAAATATCATTGTAATGAGTGATTATGATTAAATGTCTGTATATCTTGTTTTGAGTTGCTGTTTAAGTCAATTCTGCCTGGTCGTGCGGTATGCGCTTTTCACTGTCGTGACGATGTTTCCGAGTTCGATGCATGCCAGCTTCTATCCCGTCCTGCAGTGGGCTTGAGCTCGAAGTAAAATAATAATAAAAAAAACTAGTTTCCCTTTCAGACCTTGCGATCTATGGGGCAGATGATGTAAAGGTCATCTGTTTCTGTGGTCTACGGTAAACGAGGGTGTCATGTGGCCAGCACAACGACCAACCGCCGTTAATTTTCCCCAACAAATCTCAGGTACCCATTGGAGCTGGGCGGACTTAGAGTCGCCCAAAGATCCCGAAATTAAAAATCCCAGTCTTCATCAGAATTCGGAAGCCAATCGCTTTAACGTTTAGCCACTGCGCAAAGACTCGACGATATTTGTAATCTTCTTCTCTGAAGAAACGTAAGAAACAACTAATTAAAACGCAGTTATTTCCCTTCCCATCCCCCAGGGAGTGTTCAATAATTTTATTCATAAACCCAGAAAAAACAACAACACCGAGACTAATAAAATAAACACCATTTTTAAACTGACATTTCGCCACTTTGCTTTGATTCCTGCAGATGTGCTTTGTGCACTGATTCAACCCTCCGGCTCTGCAATTATATCCATCAAATGAAGCAATGCACCTTCGCTTACTCTCTCCTTCGCTTCTGCAATTTTCCAAGCGTTAAGACATTCCTGTGATGCGTTTTTGACTTCAATAATATTTTTTGAAGAGGTAGACAAGAGATCTAGGTCAGGAAGAAATGTATTTTCCATCAACCAAGAGCTGCACAACTTTCACCTTTCTCCCTAAAAAAAAAACAAACAAGCAGAAAAAAGTTTTTTTTAGCTTTTATTTTTATATAAAAACAAAGCTGTTGTTAAAGTTAGTGTAATTATTCAAACTCATAACGATTAGAATCAGGAAAGTAATATATATATAGAATGAATGGAGGAGGCCCTCTAAGGGAACCAAGAGCAGAAGCGGATTAAGTGAAAGATGGGATCATTTTTATTGGCCTCAGCATCAACTTTTTCCCGCGTTTTTATTATGCTGAGTTTTTTTCTAGTGCTAACTGATTTATGTGGTGTTTTATTAATTACTTGTTCATTTCTTATTAAAACAGTTTCAATATCCACAGACAGGAGAAAACAAAAGTAAAATGGAATAACTAGCTCAAAATGTGCGTAATTATGAACCAGGTCGACAGATGTTCATGAAAAAAAGAGAAATTAAATCATGTCTTTGGCACATCGGACTATAACAGTCTGTCACATCAGGATGTGTATCGAGTACTATCTTCTCTAATCAGCATTCCTTATAAGAGAAAACATGTTGATATTGTTTCCTCGTGTGATTCTTATTTATTTCTCTAGATAATCTTTTTTCTCACAAGAAGAGGATAAACAAATAATTTAAAACAATGTAATAGTCACGTTTCCCTTTCAGACCATGCGATCTTTGGGGAAGATAAGGTCATCTGTTTCTATGGCCAACGGTTAAAGAGCCGGGTGTCATGTGACCAGCACAACGACCAACCACCTTTACTTTCACCAACTTATGTCAGGTATCCATTACAGTTGACTCGAGGCGCCCTAAATGTCCCGAAATTCCAAATCCAAGTCTTCACCAAGATTCGAACACAGGTTAGGAAGCCATAAACACTCAGCCATCGCTCCCCCCCCCCCCTCCCCCCAGAACAACGAGTCAAGAATAGTAATGATTTTTAATTAAAATTTGATACTTCGTTACCTTTATCAGCTAAATCATCTGGGTAACCGAAAATCATATCTGGCACTGATGTATAATAACATATTAATGACCCCTTTTCCTAGCTTAGGGTTTTATAAAGCTAAAATCCGACTCCGAATATTGAGTTGTATGTCTGGTCAGTGTTTTTAGGTCAACTCATTTCTTTCTCTAGTTTTGGCAGTGGTCTTTTGTTTAGTCTTGTTGTTGACATTGTTTATATGAGTAGCTTGAATGATTCTCCTTGACTAAGGGAGTGAATGTTGGAATGTTATGTGTCATGTGTGTTGACAAAGTGTGTAAATAAATTCACTCATGAATCTGGTACTAGAGCGTTGGTGTTGTTTATTAAGTGTAGTGTCCAGAGCTTAACAAGTGGTAGCGGAGCGTGTAACTAAACGTATTTACTTAGTTGATCCTAATGGCTACTAGGATAGAAATTCCATCATTTATTAAAGAAAAGCCATACGAGTTGTATAAACAAGAGTTACTCGCATGGAATGAAATAACTGACGTAAAAGAAGATAAAAGAGCTATAGCCAGAGCCCTTTCACTACCACAAAACAGTGAATCAGGGATCAGAGAGAAAGTGTTCGAACAATTAGACCTATCAGAGCTTAAGTGTCGGGAAGGCTTTGAGAGACTTTTGCAGTTTCTTGACAAGAACTTGGCCAAAGATGACCTGGCAGACAGCATTCACAAATTTGACGAGTTTGAAGATTTTAAACAGGGAGAAAACCAGTCCATACAGGATTTCATAGCAGAATTTGATACAAAATAGAGAAGAATAGAGAAGAAAAAGATGAAGCTGTTACCTGAGATTCTGGCCTTCAAGCTACTAAGGAAGGCAAGAATAACTCGAAACGAAAAGATGCTTGTTTTGACTGGAATGAATGACGCCAATCGTGACACCTTGTACGAAGAAGCTAAGTCATCTCTGAAAAAGTTTAAGGGAGAAGAAAGTCAACTGAAGGACCAAGAGGCATGTATCAAACTTGAGCCACAACGTTTTGGGCTGAAAATTAAGAAGTTTTATGGGCAGCGGGATACCAACGACGTGAACACTTCAGTCGCTTTGGGAGACGAGATCATCAGACAAAATGTAATTATAAGCCTAAAGTCGGACATCAAGTAAGAGGAGGAGGACAAGGAAGGGGCGGCACCCGAGGTTTTGGATTCCCAAAAGTACAACGAAGTTCGAAAAATATAAACCCAGTTGGTCCCGACGGAAATGTCTTAACATGTAAATCATGTGGATCATACAGACATCTTTTGCCCAAGTGCCCCGACAGTTGGGAAAACATGTCTAAGAGGGTCAATATCGTTGACCAGGAAGAAGAAGCCTGTTTGTTCACAGAAAATCACAAAGATGAAACTTCCTAATTAGGGGTCGAAGCTTTTAACTGTGTCGTATTGGACAGCGCATGCAGTAGTACAGTGTGTGGAATGACATGGTTGGAGGCATTTTTGAGCTCTTTAGATGAAGAGGACCGCAACAAAGTGAAGTTAAGAGAAGGTCACAGAATGTTTAAGCTTGGTGGTGGAACAATAATAAAATCAAAAGGTGAATATGAGTTACCTGTCACAGTGGCTGGAAAGAATGTTAAACTTCTGACTGATGCTGTAGAAACAGACATACCATTGTTACTTTCCAGAATTGCTATGAAAACAGCAGGAGTAAAAATGGATCTGGAAAATGATACAGCTGTTATATTTGGAAAAGAGGTTGCCTTAAACTTAACATCTTCTGGCCATTATTGCATTCCAATTGACAAGACAGAAATGATTCAAATAGAAGAGGTCAACACAGTAAAAGCATTCGACGAATCCCCTGAAAAACGCAAGGCAACAATTAGAAAACTACACAGGCAGTTCGCACACCCTTCGAAGGATAGACTTAAGGCTTTACTTCAAGACGCTAACAGTTGGTATGAGGGTTTTGAAGAGGAATTAACAGATATAGAAAGAAGCTGTGAACTATGCAAAGTATTTGCCAAGACACCATCTAGACCTGTAGTGGCCTGCCCTATGGCCAGAGACTTTAATGAAAAAATTGCAATGGATTTCAAACAATATAAAGGTCAATGGATACTGCACATGGTTGATATGTGGTCAAGGTACAGTGTTTCTGTACTAATCAACCGGAAAAAAACGTCTAATGTCATTGATTCCTTGATGACAAACTGGGTAGGAATATTTGGAGTGATGAAGGCGTTAATGACAGATAATGGCGGCGAGTTCAATTCTGATGAGCTTCGAGAAGTAGCATCAATCCTGAACATTCAAGTTGGTACAACTGCAGCTTTCAGTCCATATCAGAATGGCTTTTGTGAACGAGTCCACGCTATTACCGATCACATGCTAATGAAACTTGAGGCTGAAAATTCAGATGTAGATCTTGAAACTCTCTTATTCTGGGCTAATAGGGCTAAAAACTCTTTGCAAATGAGAAATGGTTATAGTAGCCATCAGCTTGTGTTTGGGAAAAACCCTAATTTACCTAACATTCTGCAGGCAAAATTACCAGCTTTAGAGGGCAGCACAACAAGTGAAGTCTTCCATAAGCACCTGACCGCTCTCCACGAGGCACGTAAAGCTTACATTCAATCAGAGTCAAGTGAAAGAATACGACGAGCCCTGCGTTCTAAAGTTCGAGCATCAGAGCAGGTGTTTCAAAATGGTGACAAAGTGTTTTACAAGCGTGAAGGCAAAGAGAGATGGTTAGGACCCGAAAAGGTGGTATTTCAAGATGGAAAAGTTGTTTTTGTGAGACATGGCGGTGTATTTGTCAGAGTGGCACCAAACAGACTTTATAAAGCGAGCGTGGAGGAGGAAGAGAGTACAGAAGATAATGAGGAGAACACAAAAACGATTCATGACGGCATCAAGAGTGGTGTAAGCGAAATATTTGATGGAGATCGTGAACTTATTAGAGATGAAAGTAACACAAAGACAGACATCCATTCTGTAACTTGTTTGAAGCCAAATGAACAAATAGAATACAGAATGGACGAATCAGAACAATGGACAAAAGATACCATTCTCGGAAGAGCAGGCAAAGCCACAGGAAAGTATCAGTATTGGTATGACATAGAAAATAATGTGGACAAAGGAAGAAACAGTGTTGACCTTGAACGAATTGAGTGGAAATATTCAAGGGGAGGCAATAGCGACAATGTATGCTTATCAATGGTTGAATCAAGCAAAGAGATAGATGAAGCCAAATAATTGGAGTTATTGAAATTAAAACAGTTTGAAACATATGAAGAGGTTGAAGACTGTGGACAAAATGCTATTTCTACACGTTGGGTTATAACAATGAAAAATGTTTCACCAAAAGCACGTCTCGTTGTAAGAGGATTTGAAGAGCAAGACTTAATACCAAAAGATAGTCCAACTGTTGCCAAAGGTTCCGTGAGAATTTTATTGTCAATAGTGGCTAGTAGACAGTGGCAGATTAAAACAACAGCCATCAAATCTGCATTCTTACAAGGAAAACCCCTGGATAGAGATGTACATATTATACCTCCAAAAGAGAGCAATACTCCAAGTAAAGTTATTTGGAAACTTAAGTATGGGCTATATGGACTCAAGGATGGTGCAAGACAGTTTTATTTAAGTGTCAAAGAAGAGCTTATTGAACTTGGTTGCAAACAGTCAAGCCTTGATCCAGCACTGTTCACATTAATGACTGATGGAGTTGTATGTGGCATCATTTGTTGCCACGTCGACGATTTTCTTCATGCTGGCAATGATGTTTTTGAGAAGACTATGTGTGAATTGCGTCACCGATTTGTGGCAGGAAAGATAGAAGAGCGAAATTTTTATTACATCGGATTCGATATCCGACAAGTCACAGATGGGATCATCCTGGACCACACAGCGTACACCGAAAAACTTGATCGCCCAAAGCTAGACCCAGCAAGATGTTTGCAAAAGGATTTGCAGTTGAATGATACAGAACAGTCTTTTTATAGAAAACTTATTGGCCAGTTAAATTGGGTCGTTCAAGGCTCCAGACCTGATATGGCATTTGAGTTAGTTGATCTTAGCACAAAGTTAAACAAAGCTGTCGTTACAGACCTAATGCGAGCAATAAAAGTCATCGGAAAGCTAAAAGACTTAAGACCCATACAATTGTATAGAGGTCTAAATGGAAAACCCAAAGACGACTGGGAGCTGCTTCAGTTCTGCGATGCCGCCTTGGGTAATCTTAGTGGTGGTACAGGAAACACAAGTGCCCATATTGTATGGATTAAAGACAAAGACGGGCATTGTTGTCCAATTTTTTGGCGAGCCTCGAAGACCAAAAGGGTAGTGAGATCTACCATAGCTGCTAAGGCATTAGGCTTGCAAGAAGGCCTAGAGTCTGCCATCTTTTACAGAACTGTAATAGAAGAACTCTGTCGTATTGAAAAACAGTCGTTACCTATCACAGTTTTTATTGACAACAAAAGTGTCATTGAAGCGCTGCAGACCACCAAGCTAGCGGAAGACAAAAGGGTGCGTATTGACATTGCTTCCATCAATGAGATGCACAGGACTGAAAGAATTGAAATTCGCTGGTGTCCTGGGAGAGCGCAACTAGCTAATGTGATGACCAAACGAGGCGCATCGGGAATTCTACTTCTGACCATACTGCAAGAAGGAAGACTCCCGGATGAGTTTGTGTAAGCAGCACTGTTATTTCATTTTTTTTCTCTATTCACCCTATTTCTATTTCTAGTAATGTAAATATACCTATGACCCTGCCATATTTTTTGTTTGAATATATCATCTTTCCTAGTTATGTGAATATGCCTACAATTTCATTTGGTTAGTCACCATACTTGTCTTGTAGTTCTAATAGTTTGTTTAAAAAAAAATGTGTTGACAAAGTGTGTAAATAAATTCACTCATGAATCTGGTACTAGAGCGTTGGTGTCGTTTATTAAGTGTAGTGTCTAGAGCTTAACACTTGTCATTTCGAGAGGTCTGAACCGCCGCTAGCAGATTTGTGTCATCCTGACACCTGTCTCCAACTTACAGCAGCAGTTAGAAACATTTTATTGGCATGCTTATAAAATAGTCATAATACATATAAATACACGTGTGTATATCAACATACATTGAGTTCAAAATCTCGTTTACTAAACCTACACATCTGTTGACTGTGCACCCATGCGTGTTGTGTTATTTCTGGATCCTTGAAGAGAACAAAAAATTTGGAAGGGGACAAAAAAAAAAAGGAATGAAAAAAAGAGAGAGAAAGTTAGTTGGAAAAATGCGTTTTAAAAGAAAAGCTAGACAAGAATAAAAAAAAGAAAAGTAATTTTCGCTAAGTAAAGCACCTACAGATTTACCTGTATTGTAGACACGCAGGTGTTAAACACAGGATCGGGGTGGGAGGGGGGAATCTAAAAGGTGACGAGAGATGACTACTTGGAAATTAATCAATGACGTCAGAGGTGTTAACTGTTCTGATTGTTAGCGTTGTCTTGTATTTCCCTTTGTCCATGATTGACAATCGATGACGTAGTGCACATCTTCCCCAACTGCACAACTGAAACAGTATTTATATTCAGAAAGAATGAATACATTGAACAATAATCTGTAGTCAAGGGAAAAGTATACTACACGACATACCAACAAGACGTATTTGGAAGTAGCATTTTACGACATAGAGTACCAACAAACGTGTTTAGAAGTAGATTTTTACGATACTAATAACTTCAAGAAGTATTTTGAAGTAGCGTTTTACGACATAGAGTACCAACAAGACGTATTCAGTAGTAGACCAAAGGTATTCAGACGTAGCGTTTTACGACATAGTGTACCACAAAATAGTTTTCAGAAGTATCCTTTTATGACATATAGAGTACACTTTACACTCTTTTCAAAGCGGTGGTGAAGAATAAGAATGCAAACATATCATGAATGTGCGAGGGAGCGTGTGATGAAAAAGAAACACTTTAAAAGTAAATCTAGAGTGTCTTCATGTGATGGGGGGCAGGGCGCCTGAGTGTATGGAATTGCGAAAATGTCTTTAGAGGGAATAAACATGACATGTAACATATAACAGCAGCACTACAGCTCCATTGTTATGACGAGAAGCAAATGAAGAAAATATGTTGAACTATAGGCAGACTCCGACGAGGACTCGAACCTCCGACTGCCTAGCAGCGACACGTGTAACAAAATAAACTCCGACGTGACCGTCCAGGTCCGCACCCCCCCCCCCCCGCCCCACTAAAGAGAAAAAAGATTCGAATTTCACTCCATAAGGTGCATCTTTTTTCTGTCATCTCATCTTCTGTGGTGGAACAAAAGCTGTGTCAGCGCTTTAGGAGGCGTAGTAGCACTTGGCTTCCGGGGGGTCCTGGGTTTAAATCCTGGTGTAGACTGGGATTTTTACTTTCAGGATCTTTAGGGTAAATGTAAATGCGGTTGGTCGTTGTGCTGACCACATGACACCTTGCTGGCTAACCGTGGGCCATAGAAACAGATGACCTTTACATCGTCTGCCCCATAGATCACAAGGTCTGAAAGTGGAACTTTACTTTTACTGTAGAATAACTCAGATGTGCACACTGTACAGGACCAGATTTAGACTTAAGGCACTAAGCTGTTCGAGATATGGGGCATTTTGTAATCATCATAAGGCACATTCTCATTTGCTCTTTATACAAAATAACTGAAAATATCCCTGGAACTAATTCCGAGGGGCCCCCAAGCGAGGGCCTTAAACTAAGCTTTGTTTTCTATAGGTAAACCCATTGTGTGCATCTCCCTTACATGTAAAGAAAACCGTTTTAATTATTTTCATCTCAAATGGTGAAAAGATTATATTTAAGCACTTTGGCTCATTTGGTGTTATCAGTCTCACAAAGTATAAAATTGTAACTTATGTTAGGAAGGCCAAATCCTTACGGTCTATTTTTATAGGCGCAGGGCATAATTATCTACTGTTGTGAAGGACCGTCTATAATCTATACGATATTATATAAGCCAGAGGTGGTTTTTAAAAAACAACAACTTTAAAACATTGGCATTAACCATCGAAGATTCCTTAAGTCTTTTAAACACTCCTCTTCAAGCGATTCTTTTAAAAACTTATTTAGCAAAATAAAACCCAGACCAATCGCCCCTATGTCCTTTAAAAGTTAATTTTCCAGTTTTCAGGTATTAGAGATACTTTATCCCGGTAAAATTACGCACGGTTGGCACTCCAGTGTACTAGCATCACGCTATCCTCATCGATTCTGGGCGTTAGAGAATTTTCAAACCATCCTTCGCCAGTTACCTCGCTTGCGTAAACCCACCAGAGAAGGGTAGGGCGAAGGCGAGTAATTTTTTTTTGTCTGTCTCTCGGAGTGACGCCGCCTGATAAAGGGAGTTAACTTCCATTTTCAAAAGGTTTCGGAACGTCTGCTAAATTTGATTGGAGATGATCTGTTATATAACGACAATAGACTTGTGTTCCAAGTTTGAGAATTTGATAGCGTAAAGGTAAGCGGTTTAGATCTAGATCTATCTAGCGCGATGTTTTGGTGCCGAGATATAAACATATCACCTTTGAGTCACTAAGTGGTTCTAAAAATGTTAGAACGTGTGAATGTTTAGATTAAGAGGTGAAGAAATGTGTGATGTAAACACTAGATAGAGGAAGAGATCACGCCCTACGGCCATGGTGTCAAGAATCTGGGTATAGCATCTAGAGCTAGAGATTTTGCCACGGGGACTTATTGATATGTTTATCCTCCGGGGGGGGGGGGGTAAAATTGTGTTGAACATTTTGCACATTTTTGTTTCCATTGAACGTCATGACCTATCTGGTGACTCGTGAGCATCAGTTGGAACAAAGGCGGTCTTAGCTGTACGCGAGGCCTGGACGAGTGTCATAAGCTGGCCTTAACACTAATTCTAACCCAAAGTATCATGCTTAGAGCTTTCTTTGTAGTTGGTGGTATAGATGGAGGAGAGGCTTCTGTGATTGCGTATGTGTTTTGAGTGGCTGGTAGTGCAGTGTGTGTGTCTGTGTATGAAATGACCAGTGGACCTTGAGTGTAAATGGTTGAGTGAACAGCAGTGTGTCAGGACTGTGTGTAAAAGGAGGTCAGTTTAGAGAACAAGTGGCTGGAGTAAAGAACATAAATAGAGACTAATAAAATCCTTGTGTTTATTGAAGCTCATGTTGTTTTAGTGTCTATTACAGCTTCAACAATATTGAGTTATACGTCATTTAGGGAAACACTTTTTACATAAATCCACCACACTTTATTTCAGTCTATAGAGTATTAGAATGCTTGGCAAGGTCCGGCATATGTAGACCTCTATATAATGGGCTGATGGTGACAAAAATATATCCATATCGCAAGACGCCATCAGGCGCTGGGCTTGGGCGATCACCGACAAAGACACTTGTATAGTAGAAGTCCGACTGTATAGGGCAATAGAAAGATTTAAAAAAAACGGTTTTTAGGAGAATCCGAAAAGATTGTCTGGAGACTGAAAATGACAAGATAAAATAAACATTGTTACTACGGTCGACTCACAGGCTCCCGATTAAGTCATTATATTCACAGAGTAATCCAAAACTAATAGTTTCAGGGGAGCTTATACGAAGCACGCTTGCAACATTAGCATATAGCATTAGCATAGGCCGTTAGCATACTGGCTAACAATAACATTACAGCTGTAGTTCATCAAATATTATTATCATACACTAGATTCAAGGTTAGTATATAACATTTAAAATCTTCGTTCGACGGTGATGCCTGGGACCGTAGCCCCAGTATTCGCTCTTAAAGGCGACCCCAAATATAAAAAAAAAAAATTGCCAAAGAGAAATCAAGCAAAACTGACATGTAACATAAGCATACAGCCAATATCATTTTAAATTATGATAGAAGCATCGTATGACATAGCCATATAAAATTATTATGCAACATCCAGGCATGGCGTCAGTGTGTGGTGAATGGACCGGACCTAGAGCATTCGTTCTAGTGCTATATAGATTGGTCTGGAGGAAGCTTGTATTTCAGCACCTAGTCAAGTTCAATAAAAGATACTCTACATTAGACGGGAAAATGCTAATAGGTGATATATAAATTATTTTTTAAGGGCAAACTCCGAAAAGTCTGGTCTTCTATTCTGTGATCGTCTTCGGGTCTCCGAAAAGGACAACAGCGTATTTTCTGAAAGTTCTTATAACTTAAATACCAGTTTATTCTTTAAAACAGGCCTATATTAAAAGCATCTCTACCCAAATACAAAATACTGCTAATTTAGGAGTTTTTATTTAAACTTTCAATAGAGTTACTTTTATAATAGTTTTTCATATTAAATTATTATATCTTTACATCTTAAATGATCCATTTTATGTAAAAAATGTAAAATCTGCACTCATCTCAAGAAGTACTGTTGAATACCACTGTTCCACGTATTGTCAAAGATTTTAAAATAAAATTAAAAATGAAACCGCATCCTACTTTATGAGGCTGATGGTGCTCTATATGTTTCATTATATTCATTTCTTGGAATGTTTCATTATTACAGAAGAGTCGGTAATAAGAAAATTTCAATATTTAATTAAATTCAATAATTAACGAAGCAACCTTTCTGAAAGCGTAATAATTTGTTTTGTCATTAAAAAAAAAAAAAGACCAGTACGGAGATCAAACCTCCGACATTTGCGTATTTAGTACAGAGATCTGGCTATCCAATGCATGTATATTTCGATGTGCTAAATGTCAGCTCTAAATAAATGACTTAAATTGTTGTTCTTGTGGTTTTGAGTATTTGAATAGTGATGAAACTGTGAGCTAATAGAAATTGAGAGAGAAAAAAAAAGATGACGTCCTGTTGGCCTAATGTTAAACCTTTCTGTCATACGACACATGTAATTTAATTAATTTAGAGTGAAATGTGGCTAATTGATTTAGAGGATTTGAAATTAATATTACTTTGCTATTCAAAGAAATAATAGCAACATTAGAGTGTGGAAAAAAATATTATACGACTTTTTAAAGAACTAAATCAAGATGTACCACTTAGGAAGCATCTAACAATAAAAAGAGTAAAGCCGTTTATTTATTTTTTTAATTGACTTCTTCACATTGCAATCTGTCAGAAAAAAACATATGCAATAGCCTACATAGTGTGGCTGACGAGCGGAGAACTGTGGTAGCCACCTCCTCACCCCTGTGCCGCATGGAAACCTTAAAAACAACAACAACCTCAAGTCCGTTGAATTTAAAGAAGCAGGGAAAAAAAGTACAAAAATATAAAAACATTTTGTGCAGAGCTGAACTTTGAACTCATCTTTCCTGTTCAAAACGACATATTTTACCGCCCCTTCCTTCTACCAAAAGTCAGACGATGTTAAGTACCAATTGTTATTGCATTGTGTCTGTCTTTAGCCATTGATAAGTGTCTACTTCCTGCAGAAGGTATCAAGGTTGATCATTTAACAAATTCAACTGTTTAGCTCTTCAACCCCCCCACCAACTAAAATTCTTTAAACACGACAGTGGTATGTGCTTGAACTTTGTGTAATCGATTCGGTTTTTGTTTGTTTCACATCTTTCAGAATTTTATTCAGAATTGAAGATCATTACATCCTAGCCCAAACCTCCCTCGGGACGGTAGGTTCGAGCGAGACCATTCGCTATAGAAGGCCTCAACACTGACCTTCAACGCCACAACCTGTGGGCAGTTTAGACCAATAGCTCGTTGCCTTGGTCTCGATTTGAGCCCTGGACTATCTAGACAACAGTCCAGAGTGCATACTACCCACCCAGACAGCCACCTACCGGTTGATAGCAAACGTTAATCAATTTACTCATCGCCTATTATATACAAAAAATCAGAGATATGCTTTGCGTACAATTTTATGCTTGGATCGGAACAGTTCCGACAAAATCAGCAAATATATTCAATACCGTTGATTGTTTTCCCCGATTTCTACTAATTATACTATTTATTTTGTGGTGTATTATATCAGCCATTAGAAACGAAATCAATAGGTCTGTATAGAGCCAACTTGGGCCATTGCGATATTATCTCACCTCTAGCAATGGGGTCTCCTTGTGACTGGATTAGGTTCAACAAACTGTAAACAGGCAATCTTAGAAATCAATAATACATTCATGCATCGAGAGAATTGAGTTCTTGAAAGAACAGAAAAAAACAAAGAGAATAACATTAAATGACATTTGAGTTGCTTCAGTGCGAGCACAACGACTCGTGTTTGTTACGCTTTTCTGTTGTTAGACATATTACGTAATGGAGTGATGAACTAAAATTGGTCCTAAATTGTTCGGTTTTAGAACAATGTACTGAAGACAGTTGAGACACTTTCTTCTCTTTCTTGATTTCTTTCCCCTTTTCTTCTTTTCTCCTTCTCTATTCGTCTTTCTCCTTCTCTGACACACACTGTTTCAATACATATGTTTTGTAGTAATAATTTGTTTTAAAAATCTTATGTCATGTGTAAAAATAAAAAAATTAACAATATTTTAAAAAGTGCAAACTACTGATTCTACATTTAAAAGCCCAGACACGAGTTTGATTATTGAATAATAAATGACATTATATCTTTCTGTAAGTGATATAATAATTATCATGACATTAATCTTGCAGGATGTTTGTAGACATATTACTCGTAGGCATGTCATTAATAAGCAACATTCATAAGCAGCAATACAGTAATGATACTAGACTACAATAATTACAGGTACTTTTCACGTGATAACATATATATTAATTTACATGCCATAAATCCAACTTTCCTAATGAACTTAGATGACTATAACGACGTTCTAGCGTCCATGACTTGACGTCACATAAACTTGTTTAATGTATACACCTACTTGCTTGAACGTCTCAAACCCAACAACACGTCTCCAAAACTAGCATTAAGATTGGATCACAAAGTCTGCGACCATTCCATAGAGGGTCTCTCTTTGACACTCATAGCAACAGACGCAAGACACTAGCAGAATTTAGCATCTATTCGATATGCTGAATTCGTATAGTGTCATTAAAAACTTTATACTTGGTATTTTGGCATTTAAATAGAAAAAGTTTGTCACGTGACAAAAATGACTATTAAAATCATCT